GGCAACGTTTTATAGGCGGTAAGAAAATTGAATTGTCTGTGCCTCCCCGTGAGTTGTGGCCGTGCTCGTGATCTATCTGGCCCCTCGTGAACCTCCGTGCGTCATTTGGCCGTCGGCACTATTTGTCTTCCTTCTAAACATAGCGATGCCGATGATTGTGAATAGAGGCGGACACAGCGTGGTTTGGCTTGTACTAGTGCCGCTACCTGCTTTAGCCTGTTGGGCATTCTCTACCGGTCGGCCTTGGAGTGCATGTTTCGGCTCCAGTTTTTTCTAGCCAGGGTACAAGACTGTTGCCAGGGGTACTATACAGGCTAGCTCCTCGGCTCCGAAAATTTTACCGAGACACCCCCTCAGATAGATTTCAACGTGAACGGGAGGCTTGGCGGCGGACACACTTTTTACTAGCGCCGTAGAGATCGGGAGCCAAGACGGTCTGTTTCACAGGCTATATACTCAGTACTACCTGCTTAGTAGTAAGACAAAGGACTTCTTAGTCTTACTACTAAGCAGGTAGTATTATTAGTTTAAGAAGCACACTTGGAGCGGCCTGACCCGCGCTATTAGCAGAACGCGGCAGTGGGAACGACTGATCCTGGCCTCGGGCGACGATATGACGGTTCAGTCAGTCGGAATAATTACTGGTGCCGGCACGGCAGAACAACAAGGAGACGACCTAGCGAAACTTAGGGGTGTCTGACAAAAAAGTATTCTCTCTCCCTCTCTGTAGAGGTGTGTGTGTGTGTGTGTGTGTGTATGTGTGTCTGTGTGAGTGAGTGTGCATATTATGTGTGTGCGTGTGTGTGTGTGGTCATGTTTGCAACTAGCAAGTCACAAAACCCGTCTGAAATCTCAACGGAAATCTCCGTGTATGCAGTCTTCAGTTTGTTATATTTCAGGTTCGGTTTGTTATATCTAAGACTTTGGGTCAAAAGAAGACAAGAGCCAAGTGTTGGAAACCGCTTTCACTTTTAAGGAATTTTCCGCAACTTCTCCGACGATTGGTCCAGCGAGACGAAAATAGCTTTCCATTTCACCACCTTAAAGACGACATTTAAAGTTGTTTAAGAAGTCTGAAGCCTTAAAGGACCTTCTTCAGGAGTCTTGGCACAGCCGAAGTCAGCGTGGGGGCGAAGAAACAATAACATTTGTACATCCGCACTTCTCTGTCTGACCCTGCGCGACCTATGCTCCAAGCAGACGTTTGGGTTTTGGCTTATTTTTGGCGTGTTTCTATACTCTCCAAGCAGAGGTTTGGGTTCTCTCTTAACTTTGGGGTAATTTTAGGCTTTTATGTCGGGCTTTGCACTGGTATCTTTTTTACTTTGGTTGGGTTTACAGTGCAAAAAAAATAAAGTCCGATACAAAGCCTAAAACTCCATACTAAAGTCAAAAGCCGAACCTCTGCTGGAGAGTAGTGTTTCAAGACGTTTTTATCTGGCTTTCTATTTTTACGTAGCAAATGATAACTGCCTGGCAAGTGGATGCAGCCTGCCCAATATCTTACTGTTTTGCAGCTACCAAAAGATCTTCTTGGAGGTTAGAGCGACCGGTACTGTACTGGGGACATACCGCCCAGTTGTATTATTAAACTGACTTCAGCGGAAGGAAACAGGCTATTGTCCTTTCTGACTAATACCTTTGGCCAGAACGTTTAGCGATGACTGTACTCGGACAATAGCCGACCCAGAGTTCGTGTTTCCTCAATAAATTATTTTGTTAACGCCGTGACTTCCCGGTGACAGTAGTCTAAATGTCTGGGATGTAGGTCAACTGTACAACATTTCATGATAGCCTATAGTGACCTGCTTGGATATCATTTTAGGCAACACCTGGTTGGTAGAACCATTTAAAACACACTGTACATAGTGGGAACCCTGGCTGTGGCTTCATCCGAATGCGCACTACCCTATTTCATTGTTTGTCTTATCTGTGCATAGACAGAAAGTGTGGTTCTCTTCGGAACTTGTGAAGAAGAGAACCATTTAAACACACTGTACACAGTGGGAACCCTGGCTGCGGCTTTACCCGAATTTTACCCCGGTATGTCTGCACAAACTATTAATTCCTGTTCGCGCCGAGACAGAAGGAATCCAAGGCTAGCTGCACAAACGCTACTGTCTCAGTCTCCCGGCTTTGTCGGGGCATATTTGGGAAGTGCGGAAGTGTCGAGTATGGCAGCCGATTTCACGCAGCAGACACGTGAGCTACGGCGATTTCACGCCAGGACATATAACTCTATTTTAAAACACGCCTTTGTTCCCGTCGTGCTCTCCCACGAACTTCCCCACTGATGCTCCAGCAAAATTTTTACTTCTCCGGACTGTAGGACAAGCTCAGAAAACAGTTATGTCCCATCGTTACCTTGCTGTACCCTTGCGATTAAAGTCTGAAAAGCGGTACCTCTCTTTTTAATCTCCTTGGAGTCTGTGGGAGGAATCCTTCAAAGACTAAAGGCCTCCTTTACAACGATATCAATCCTGAATCTTTTTTTTTCACGATTCTTACTTGCATAATTATCATGAATCCTGTATTTGTCGGGTGCACCGCCAGAAAAAAATTAACATCAACCCTTACAATCATCATCCATAGCCTGTGAAAGTAGTCTAAACGTCTGTGCTCTTTAGTGCACCAACTCCCCTGGGATGTTGTCTGTCTACTAGTATTTGGCCAATTTCTACATTTTCCAGTCGCTCCCCGAAGCCTGGTATAGGCTACAATGTAGGCTACAATGTAGATTGTGTTGTGACTCCGACCTTAAGCACCCCCCCCACGCTTAATGGCACCGCCCATCCGTGACGTACAGGTGAGGTATATAAGGTATGGCGCGAAACCGTCCGGAAATTCCTGCACTTCCGACCCGGCTTCCTGCACTTTCGCCCATCGGTATGTCACTACCGCGCCGCGCCAGTCATTCAGTCCTGTACGTATTCAAAGTTTTACCTTTTAATTCAACACAAAGGACAGATGTATGACTATGAGTCACAAAATTGTCGTCTGTATAATTCGGCCATCATTTCGTAGAGTCAAACTAAACACAAGAATACCCAGGTGATCCCTGGCTCTCATACTGTTAGACACAGAAAAAGTTTTCTTCCAACAACAGTAGGGCTTGCGTCAAACTTCCAGACGCAATAGTTACCATTAGAGATAGACAGAAGTTCAAATGTGAAGCACACACTGACAGTGGCAGCTTGCTGTGTACCATCGGCAGTCCACTTACTAATCCTGTACCAAAGTTGATTTAAATAAAAAAGCAAATAAGAAAAACTCCCAGTTCACCTTCGTCCACTTTCCAATGAGCCATTTTACGCTACGTTACGCTACAGCGAATCCGGGAGGACCCGTGGTGTGTTTTACATGCACGCCGCTAATGGGGAACTGAATAAAGTATCAGAGTATCCTAACCTCTGCCTACCCTGTACATTACCGACCCTCCCCAGGCTCACATGTGTAACATTGGGGGTTTATAGGCGCTACCAACTGATCCGGTGACGGGTCTAGACCTTTTAGCCGAATGATAAGAGGGTCTGGGTCCTGGCCTGGTTCCCGGGCTTGGCGTGGGTTCGATCCCCGGTCCAGGGCCAGGGGCCGGTTGTTTCTAGCCTCTACCAGGCTTCGGGAGGCGGATGGAAAAAGAGCGGCAGCATTCCAAGGGAGTTTGGTCCTAGATTGTTCTCTCCAGGACCAAACTCCCTTGGAATGCTGTCGCTCTTTTCCAGCCGCCTCCCGAAGCCTGGTAGAGGCTGGGTTGTTCCTACCCCCCTACATCTCACACATGCAGGGTCCTGCCGGCACGCGACGTCTCTGTAACACTGCCGCGGTAATTAAGGTGGAATCAGGCGTACGTCTCAGGACGGTCTTAGACATTCTCCTTCACGGTGGTCTTTTAAGACACGGGGGAAAGTTCTTCGGAAGTAGAATAGGAAAGAATTCGAAACTTGAACTACATAAGTAACACCAGGCAGGTACATGCGTATTAAAACTTTTTTGTGTAAATAAACTCCCAGCGTTTGATGTCCCAAAACTGTCGTCTTACTTATTGGTAGCCTAGTTCTTATAGTGGCTTAGACTATGCGAGAATTCAAAACTTGTTAGGTCACCAACATCTTGTTGTGCTTTACCAGGTCAAATGTGGAAACATAAAAAAAGTAGCAGCTGGGAAGGTAAATAACCTACTGTACAGCCTGAGCAAACGACGTGCGCTGACGTCTCTTCCCGGCATAACAAAATGTCAATACTTGTATTAGAACTTCAAGCTTATACATCACTAGCGTTCTGTGTCTGTAAAGCGTAAGTTACACGTGTGATCCTCACAGGTGATGTAAACACATACACACGTACGCACACACACGTGTGCGCGCACAGACACACACAGACGCACGCACACGCACGCACGCATAGACTCTTACACTCACGCACACACACACACAGTCACACACACATATACGCGCACAGTTACACGCACACATACACATCACACACACACACACACAAATTTACACGGATACTCACAGAGAGAGAGAAACACACTCGTACGCACGCACGCACACGCTCGCGCGCGCGCGTGCACGCACACAAACACACACAAGTTTACCCACACCCCGGTCCGTCCCGTGCGCGCCCTAGCTGCCTGGCCGAGCGGCGGCCTCGCGCGGCGCGGTGACAGGAGACGATATAACGTGTACATGTTAAAGGGAAATTATTCGCCAGGCAGGCGTCGGGTTTCCACTGCCCAGGGAAAGGGAGGGCTGGCCGCTGAAATACAGCAGCGCTCTGGTTATATCTCAGTCTGTATAAGGGGGGAGTCTAATTAAATTTGCCACCAGGCAGTGGCGGGATTTAGTGCATTTGTCCGGCTGTCTGGGTCGGCCGCGTTTGTTATTGAGTCTGCTACAATCGGGCTATGGTTATGTGAACTACATGTAAAACACGGTGGAAATTCTTTGCGGCCGGCCCCCGCCGACTGACACAGAAGGTAGTGTTCTAGCGGTACATACCAAGCCTTGCTGCGGGCTGACGGTGGGCTTGACTGTGGACAGCGGCGGCACGGGAGTCGGCATCGCCCGGGACACCAGCGCGATCAGCCCGAGTAGAACACAGTACAGCCTCCCCGGTAGTTCCATCCGTGAACCTGCGGCCCGCTCCTTCCCTGCACACGAGAAATTCCAGCTGCAAAAGCCGAGGTGTATAAAAAAAACTCGCCCCGGTAAGTAGTGAGTCTGTCAGCTGAGTCTGTCGCCGCTCGCCAGAGGACTCTTCTTACCCAAGACGGCGGGACTACGCAAGTTTGTTGACTTTGCTCCCAGGTCCAAGTTCGGCGCGGGCGTCTCCTAAATTCCCGTCTTCTCTGCGTTCGTCGCCTCGTGCTGGCTGGTCGCTGCGGCAGCCTCCCCTACAAGAGAAATGATGTGACCTCGCTGAAGGACCCCTTGTATATATTTACTTCCGCCATGACATCATCTGGTCCCAATAGCCCTCCCCCTGCCTCCACCCTGGGCTTGCCTCCCGTGCCTTATTAGGAAGTCACCCTCGGGCGAGACCACGTCCACCTCAAGACAGGGGTGGCAGGGTGAGATTTTCCCGTAGTGAGTCACGCCGATTGAGGTATTGTCGCTAACAAAAACTCACAAACACCGACCACGCGCTGCGACTTATACAGATTGGCGCGGCCGCCCCAAATGCCGCCCGGCGTCATTTACTACAGACGTAAGGCCGGCCGCTGACCCCTGGTGCCTTGGCCCCCCTGCCACAACCCTTCCCAGACTGCCGTTAAATAGCCGCAGGGATGTGTGTCGGGACACGGCGAGGAGTTAAGCACAATGTAGCCAGAGGGCACACTTACCAGCCCGCTATCTATAACTACTGCGAGACGAGCCAAGTCTGCGATTATACTTACAGCGCTCGGTCGGGTGGAAGCATAGCCGTGAAAGAGCGGGCAACTTTTACTGGAGAAAGGAAAGAGAAATAAAACGAAAGAAAGATTCTGGTAGTTACTTTAGTACAAAAGTAGCACAGTTTTTCTCAACTATTTTTCATTTAGTTTTTGGTAACAGTATGTATCTTATGGATCGGAGTAGACACCCTCCTCTTTCTTCCCATACAATTATTGCATGTTAGTCAGCGATAAATACTAGTATGTTTCATAATAATTTAAAGAGGATGCGTCGCAGACACCTGTGGTAAATTTACAGTAGTTAAACTTGTGTGGTAATCAAAGTAATAAGAGACTAATGTGGATGATATTTTATAATTGCATGTACCCAGTGTCTGTCTTTTCTAGATACACTTCTATGACAGCTACGTACACAAAGTACTGACTCAATACACATAGCTAATATCTAAAGTTCACAGAGTACAACTTATATGAAAAGGGCATTGTTTCACAATACTACATACAATATTAATCACACCAAGAAAAGGGGCTGTACCTAGACACCCTTCGTAAGATGGCCCAGTCCCTAAGGTTGACATACACACGCACACAGATCACCCCACACCTTGCAGAACTACGTGGTTTAACACGTACCTGTCAGGTAACTGTTTACTCCAGGTGTGCAACTGTACATTTAAGGGACCGGTCAGTGACGGGTCTTCTGTATGTAATAGAATTAGGCGAACACACCCCTACAAATGCACTAGAAAGCTGGCAATGACTCAGAGCAATAGAAGTAACATAAAGTGACACAAAGCGTACTTGTATTACAGAACTTCAGAAACTACCCTCCTCCACTTCGTTCTGGTCGCTCCCTTATACTTACAGCACTTAGTATTTCACAGGGATTAATGTCAAACCAGACATGTCAGAGTTAAAGCTGGTACACGCCTGTGCGGTACCGTGCGTTAACAGCTGTTTTCACCGAGTCGTTTTACTCGCCAGCTGTAGGTGCTAGACGGTGGTTTTCAGACATGACAATTTGCAGCTTTTTTTCTTCAAAGCGCAGATTTTCAGCCTAAATGTCAAGAGATCCAAAGGAGTTTAGACTAAGACCAAAACCACCTGAAGAATTATAGGGTACCGCGGAGAGGTTGATTCGGGCGAGCTTTTTCGCCAGCCCTTAATTACAGAAGCCACTTGCCGACCTTAAATCGTTTCATCCCCGTTTTTACGTGTCGTGACAAAGAGGAATACCTTCCTATCAAACAAGATAAAACTACAGTACTTCGAATGAAAGTTCACCTGTGCTGGTAGAATCCATAGTTATAGTGTTGAAGCTTTGTGGTGAGTTTACTTTTTGTGTTGAAACCAAACTTGATCTCTATAGCTACACATACACCCGGAAGATGGCCTTATTTCTTCACTATATATGTTTGTTAATTCTATACCCATCGTTCATTTGCTTCTCATAACCATAGTCCGCGATACAAATGTACATGGGAACAGGTACCTCATACCTATGGCATCTACCGAATTTTGTGGGTCGGATTGGATGATTGATTATTTTCCTGTTCTTTTACCAGGGTGGCACACCCAGTGACTGACCACTGCTCAGAGTGTACATACATAGAAACAACGCAACAATACATACAAGACAAGAACGGAAAATTTGCATTAAAATCAAAACCATTGTCCAAAGTCGCGATCTAACTCACGCCAGGTCGTGAGGGTTGGAGGTCAGAGGTCTTACAGCTGACGTGTTGACTTTGCTTGGCTACAACAGTTTACCCGCACCCCTGTACCAACTATTTACTGAATGTGCAACACAGGCATCTCTGACCCACAAACAAGACCGGCATGCACCGGCCCGGTCCGCTCATACCTGCCATAAGCCGCATACATGGCTCATTAGTGGCGCGGAGAGGGGCTTAATTATAGTAAGCAAGAAAGCAACCAACCAGCCAACCAACCAACCAGCCAACCAACCAACAACCATTCATCCAAGCTGTCAACCAACAAACTAGCAGTCCAACCAACTGACCGACCAACCAACCAACCAATTGACTTACAAGGAGATGACTACCCTAGTTGCCGGACGGTCAAAGGCAGGCCTAACGATGCGAGATCAGTCTTAACTGATGAAGAATCTTTCATTTGTGGCGTTGTATAGACTTTCCTGGAGCTAGTTCTATACACTTTCAACAGCGCATTGCTGTATACAATGAATGTATGAATGAATGGATTTGTAAATGTAAAATTATAATTCTGATGTGTCACACAGCCGTCAGTTGCCTCGGCCATCGTTTATAACAATCGGCCTCTCTATATATTAAACTGCTCTGCCTGTACCCCCCTGGACTACATGGTATCTCCCGTGATGTCACCAGTGACTCAGACCCAGGCCATCCCCAGGCCACGTGCGGCATGCCGGGCCGTGGGAACACGCGTACCGGGACAGCAGCGATAGTCACCAACCAGGCATTCTGTTCGTCCAGCAGAATTTATTTCTCTGACATTTAGGCATGGTGACAGTTGCTATCAGTAAGACCTGTCACTCAACGACCATTCATAAGGCCTCTGTACATGTATTAGTCACTCGGTAAAGATAGCCGATATATGGGTTCAGTGGGACTCAGCAACTGTGAAGTACATCAACTTCGTTAACCCTAGGCACTCTGTTCGTCCATCTGAATTTATTTCTTTGACATTTAGGCACGGTGACAGTTGCTATCTGCAAGACCTGTCACTCAATAATTCACAATGCCTCTGCATTAGTCACTTGACATACATAGCCGACCTGGAGTTTCAGTGGGACTCGGCAACTGTGTAGTACATAAACTTCGTAGGTCTAGTTCATGGCCAACTCGTTGCGTAAATGAGTAATCTTCTAAAACTTTCTTCTATATATTATTCACATTTTACCTGTACCTTTAGTGATGAGACGAGCCAACGTTCGTTGGCCTAGTTCATTGCTACCTCGTTACTTGAATTTATTTTAATGAGTAATATTCTAAAACAGGTTCTATACATTACTCACATCATTGTACCTGTGAAACGACTCCGTAGGGTGTAGCTAACAGAGTTTCGAATGGTATAGAACAGTCTAACTTTAGAAACTGACGTATGATCCTGTGAGCCTATCTGCCAGCTGCACAACATTAGTGTTCTAGCGGTGAGCAACTCCGCCTCCGGACCTATTGAAGGGTTGAAAGTTCTGTTCCAGGCCGTTTTCGTTCACACGATGTTAAGTCATGATCCTCTGTAAATCCTAGGAACGTTCAATGACAATGGCCGACGAAAAGAAATATCCCCTGTACAATGACCCTGTCAGTTTTGTACTAGTACGTTTTCTGTCACGGCCAGTTGAAGATTGAGTCTTCACTTATCCTAGTGTAAAAAATCACTTTCACTGAACTGGTGTAAGATCACCTTCATAAATCTCACTGGTGTGAGATCAGTTTCACTGAACTGGAGTGAGATCACTTTCACTAAACTGGAGCTAGATCACTTTCACTGAACTGGAATGAGAATACTTTCACTAAACCCATGTGAGATCACTATCCCGAATGTAGGTACATGTAATCCGTACCCGATACGCCGCGGGTGTGGTAGTCTGGCCATAGTCATCCCGTAAGTACATCGGATTGCGACCGTAACAAAAACCAGACGGTGTCCCTGGGCGGACGGACACGAGGTGCCAACACCATGTTCTTTCCTGACCACATTTTTTCATTATTCTTTAATTCAGACCCCTGGCCCATATGCACACATATGAGAACAGACTAACAAGAGTTTGAGACATGGCAACAAACACAACGAATTCGAAAATCAAACAATACCTAAAAAGAAAACTTCTTATTACAAATAAGGTTGACATAATGTCTCCAGAAGGTGCTGAGATGATTGCCGTCCGAGTGAATCTGCGGGCAAGTTCTTGATTAAGTCAGTCACCAAGGCAAACGCTGGCCGCAACAACAACTCAAACTGAGTCAAAGAAGAAAAGGAAGGGTCCCTGCATATCTTAAGGTTCAAACTACAATCTGTCTGCATTAGTCTTTACAGGAAGGACTCAGCACGAAGGCGGCCGCTACAATCAGACCCGGCAGATTTAGGGTCTTAAGTAATAAGGCGTGTGATAATCCGCGGGGATTGAGTAAGCTCTGCCTGGATCATGGTTAATCTGGCCACCTGGGCAGGTGGGTTGGAGGTCCGGGTAACACAAAGAGCGGCTTCCTGGGTTCGTGTGAGGCTAACCAAGGCACGGGCCAGGGAATCGTCTGAGATGGTTGGCTGGGTTCTGAGCAAAAAGGACTGAGTTTCTTCTACAGGCGCGACGGTTGGGCGTTTTACCATAGAATAGTCCAAAGGTCCTGGGTTCGAATCCAACAACCTGTGGCGATGTTGTGCCCTTGGGAAAGGCACTTAACACTAGCCTCCTTTGCAGACGTTCCGAGATCGGTCGTCTAACTTAACACTACTTTCCACACTTGACTCAGGTACACATCAGTGCCCTAAGCATAGCCTTAGGTTAGGGACGTCCCTCAGATAGGACGATAAATGGAGGCTCCGCGTTTGGGGAGAGCCACATCCCACGCACTTTGCCTGTTCGTTGTACAGTCACTACAGCACGGGGCTAT